GCTGGCTGGGGCTGCTGGGTCTCCGCCGCTGTGCCGCTGTGATTTGCATGGCAGGCACAGTACTTCCAACCAATTGCTGTCAACTAATTGCTGTCAACTAATTGTCACCACCAACTGTCACCAACTAATTGCCACCAACAAACTCCCACCAACCAATTGTCACCCACCAATTGTCACCAACCAATTGTCACCAACCAAGTGTCATCAACCAGTTGCCACCCACCAATTGTCACCAACAAATTTCCACCAACCAATTGCCACCAACCACTTGCTATTCGCCGTTTTTGTTGGGCAAATGTTTCATGACGGTGCGGCTTGCAGCGGAGCGGCGTGAATAATTTATAGTGCATAAATAGCTTATAGTGATGATGAAGAAAGTTTAACCAGTAATGAGCTTAGTAAGCTTTTTTGAGGCTGAATTGAAAAATTGAATTACATAGAACAGGAGGACATCCTGCTTTTGCAGATAGATTTTTTGGAACCTTTCAGAATATCTCATTCAAAAGAGTTGAGGCTGAAGAGACGGTAGGGAAAGGAACTATTCAGTGGATAAACCATGTGTTCAAAAGTATGCTTGCTTATTGTAGTAGAATTTTGCATTCTGCAACAGGAATGACACCCAATTCAGCAAGGAAAAAGCAAAACCATTGAGACGCAAAAGTCAATGTATCAATTAGTGCAAACGAAACAGCGATCGCATCCTGAATCCCAAAAGTAGGTCATTATGAAATAGAATTAGAAAGAATGCAATTGCAGAAAAAGGGAGAACGTCACACTTCCTAAAAGGATAGCAAAGTTCAGGAAAGTTAAAAAACAAGATGGGAAGCCTATCACGGAGTCAGTGAGTGTCCAAGATTGTCGATGCGGCACGAATTGTTGAAATATAGGTTATTTTAGAGGAAAACAATGAAAGGTAACTAAAGATGCTTCAGGATACAAAGAAGAGGAGTTTAGAAGAAGACAATCCAGAGAAGATGAAGGAAGCAAAGGAAATAGAAACCCTATTTATATATTTAAAGAAATTAAAAAACTGCTGTCCAGTGTGTGAATATGATGTCTAACGGTGCAAGAAAGCGCCATTTGCAGATCAAGAAAGGGAGCGTCGGGCGCAGCTTTATTTTTTCGGTTTTCGTGCTATGTGTTTTTAGTGACCGTCCGCAGCATGCTTTGTCTTGCGCTCCCGCTCCTCACCTTTTTGCACCACCTCGATTTGCAACTGAGCCGTTTGCGCCACCCAACTCCATCCCGGGCGCGAGGGTTGCCTCTCTCTCCTCCCTGCCTTTCACGACCGTCGGGCGAAACACCATGAGGCGTGGGCAACAGCTGGCTTAGGCCTTGTCCAGTCTCGGAATCGGTGCAACCGATTAAAACGATCGTACACTAGGGCTTGTTTTCGATCCTTGGATACCGGAATAGCCATGTACAAAAATAAATCCTTGTACCCTGCGCAAGTGCCCTTCCGTATTAGGCAACTGTGGACACAGCGCCGTCGACAGGCCCCCAGGCCTCAGGATTCACATACGGCCTCTCCCACATCAGGCCTTCTCCGAGTGCTTCAATGGAATGCATCCAGATCCCTGGACTATGCCAGCGGGATTGACTGGTGTGATAGATCCCCATTCGACATCATCATTGCACAGGAGACCGGATGGAACATGACAAATGAGTGGAGCACCCCTCAATGGCATGTGATGCATGGGGCAGATAGGTATGCCTCTGTCCTAGTGATGGTTCGCGCTGCCCTGATATCAAGAGAAGCCATTTCGGTTGCACATCACATACCTGGCAGGATTACGCAAATCAGATTGCAACTGTGCCGTCCCCGCGACATATATGCTGTGTATCAACATGCATGGCACTCAGGTGGGAACATTTCGCAATTGTTGAACAAACGCAAACGAGTTTGGACATGCCTTCGAGATTGCATCAGCCATACACCTGCACGAAATCTTCTTTTGTTAGGAGGTGATTATAACACACCACTTGACTTTGCTGGTCAGCATGTTTTCACCCCGGATATCAAGTATGCCAAAGCCGCCCAGACCGATCGGGCCCTGTTCCAAACACTTGTTCAGGATCACAACTTGGCTGCTGTTCATACACGGGTTTTTCATCCCACCTTTGTGCATGGTGACCATAATACCCGGATCGATTTTGTGCTCACGCGGAAGGAGCAGATCTCCTGGCGCACCCTGCAACCGAAGCATCATCCCGACTTTGACTTTTGTTTGGCAATCAAGGCCCCAGACATTATCCTCTGAGCTTGCACTTGTCTAAATGGTTTCCAACTCCCAATCCCAAAAACCATGAGGGTATCAAACGCTTCCGCCTTCGTCAGGCCTGGACCCAGCACACACCGCAGTGGGCCCATTTCTTGACTCAGGCACGTCAGGTCATCGCAGCACACGGACCTTCGTTGTCACCGATTGATCGTAATCTGACCTTGGAACGAAGTCTTGTTCAGATTTGTAAGAACTGTTTTCCGTCGGTCAGACGGCAGGCACCGCTGGATCCTGCCTTTCGAT